TTAACTATGAGTGATAAATTATCAAACTTTGTCTTTACCTGCTGCCATTTATATTGTATTAATTTTATTTTATTGATGCTATTTATTTGTTCTGTTCTTTATCTATATTCTTATTTGCTTTTCATTACTAAATAATTACCTTTTAAAAATCTCAAAAGAATAAATTCATAACAGTAATCAAATTTAACATTTTATTATAACTAACTGTTTTCAGAGCAGCAACAAAAGTAATTTACAGCAGCAGAGTCACTATATAAAATCAGTTTCTCACTGGAAACTAATGGAACATGTAAAATAAACTTAATTCAATCAAAATAATGAGTAAAGTTTAGTTTATACACTGAGTAAAGACATCAGTCAGTCAGTTGTTCCTCCTCCTCCTCCTCCCTCTGCTTCTGCTGATAGAGAGGAGCTGGTTTCTCTCAACAAGCAGCTGAATTTTCAAGGATTTGCTAAATTTTAAGGTACGTAGCATCTCAGCTAAACAGGCTACACACCGAGACATTTCATTTCAGTAGCTTGTTTTTGACAAACTAGCTATTAGCCAAGCTAGCACATGTTCTTGTGTAAAACCAAAACACAGCTACGGTGGATGAGACAGAGCAGATTATAATATCGCTTTGTACACGTTCCTGCTTGTTGTACTGATGCAACCTTTTACTAGTACTACTGCTGGTTTTGCTGTTAACGATCGTAGTTATGGTTAACTGGTGTAATCTAAACCGATCTCTGCTCACCTCGTCCCGCGTGTGTGTATGCGGAGCTCTGCTGAGACGGGAGGGGAGGGGCTGCAGCGTGATGGCTCTGTGGGCTTAAGCTATCATAGAGAATGAATGAATGCTGAATCAGAGCCAAAGGACCACATTTTTTTTCTTAATTAATTTATATCCGTTTTTAAAATTACTGATGCAGATTACTGGAAAAATGCACCGATAATCAGCCAAACCGATTCTTGGTCGAACCCTAATTCTGAGTATTTTTAACTGTTTTAATATTCATTTTCCACAGTATCAATACTGAAAATATATTGACAATCTCTTCTCTCGATTGCGAGAATACCTACCTAGTCTATGGAGAATACACATGCCGAGTAGAGAGTTTTGACCGCTCACGCCCTACTGTGCTGTGATTGGCTAGGAATCATCACTTGTGATTGGATGCTGGCAAAGTATACAAGCAATGCCACAGAGCAGTGCTAACGAAAGGTGCTAACACAACCACTTGAGCAATGCAGGACTGACACTCTGACCTCTATAAAGAATCTCTAGAGGTTGGAGACGTCTCCCCTTTCAACGTCACTGAAGTATTGAACAAGATGGCCTAGTAAACTGTTGTTTATAAGCTAGTTGTCCTGTTGTTGGCCCAACAGACATTTGTAATTCTCAAAGCTAAGCTAATCCCCCTCAGAGCTATCAGACCTGAGGAATCTCAGACGGCAGAGTTTCAGCTGATAAGAAAACACTTGACTAAAGTCAAAAGTAAATTAACTGATGCTGTTAGGATAAACACACAGTACTAATAACGTTCTTTAATTTCCAAGATGAGTGGATTAGATAATTTAGTAATTAAATTCAGTAATTAAATAAAGGTTGTGTCAATTTTCCCCAGAGGTATGGGAAATGTTATCGATATTTTTCAAGGTATTGTATCAAAGTTGAAATTCCAGTATCGATAACACTACTATGCGATGTGTCAGCTGTGCGCCAGTAGACTCAAACATTATGCTAGGAGAGCCAACATAGCATGGAGGGAGCTAAAAACAAGGGGTCAACAGTTTAGAGAGATTTCACACTTGCTATTTGTGAAGATTCTCAGTCATCCAGGACGTAGTAATCCAAGGAAGGTGAAAATCAAGGGCATTTTGAATGTGGTTGAAGATACTTGAAGAGGTTTCGCCTCCCATCCACGGGGCATCTTCAGTCTAGATGCTGCCTGAGTCAGATGTTTATATTAACTACATTTTAGTTTAAACTGACATTTTAAAAGTAAGAATGTGTAATGTAATTGATTTAAAGAGCTAATTAAATAGACCTCTCAGTGCTTTGCATGCAGTTTCCTCTGTAACCTAGCAGGAGTGTGTAAGTTTGCATGAACTATTGATGTGACTGAAGTGAAGACTTGAAGTTAATGAAAGGCCGTCCTCGTACAAACATGGACTCTGTTCTGTATTTAACAGCAGTGCTGTGCTGCAAGTGGTTGCTGGCTACACTGCAGCAGTAATTAGTGTGAGGAAATTTGTTAAGAGCACATGGGTTGGACAGGATTGAAGCTCCCATCCACCACCACCACAAAGTACCAGGGTTCGATTCCCGATAGCAAAACCACTGGCTTGGTCATGTGGTCAACAAACAAAATTAGCTGTGATCGCAGGTTTAAAGCACCAGTGATTCCCACTGGTTGGTCATGCCTGAGGAGTGGAGAGAGGAACTGGAAGGCTTTGCATGAACCTCCAGCATGCTACATGCTCCTGCTAAAGCTCTTTGCCGTCAGGTAATACAGCTGTCTTATAATGTTACAGAGTTAGCAGTGACGAGGATTGCATTATATAGGGTAGGCTTTAGTAGTGTGAGTTTATGCCTGTGCATGTAAATTCAGTTGCCTATGTACTAGGGCCAGAACATCAACTAGTTTCAGTTTGAATGGCTGTTCGGTTCTCAAAACAAGTAAAAGATGTCATTATATTCATGGCTCTTTCATTTACTCTCTCACACACACACACACACACACACACACACACACACACACACACACACACACACACAGCGTTACCTCAGACTCAGTCTCTTGTACTATTTTCGGCCTGAGGTATGTACGTTTCATTGGGATGGTGAATAAAACAGTTGGTCAGACATGCATAGCTGTTTAATGCAGTTTTTCAACTGGCTCTTTGTCCCACCGGCAGGTTATTCATTCTGACCTGTGCTTAGACGTACAGATCCATCCATCCAAATCTGTTGGCTATTGGTGCTGCTACACTCCAAGCCAGCAACGTCCCATACCTCATCATTATTAGCAGGTTTCAATGTGACTACTTTCAGGGAGCCATGTCAGAATCTGTGCAATGCATGGTGTTCACCTCCAGGGCAATGCTGAAACAATTTATTTAAATGGGAAGATATTTTAGTAATGCTGGTTAGTCCAATTTGTTCTGTCACCGCCTTGTACAAATGGGTGGGCAACTGTGGGAGACAACGATGAGAAGAGATGAGGCAACTGAAAAGGGGAGCGGACTGATTCTCACCTTGGCGAGAGAAGTCAAAATGCTGATTGCAGCACAAAGTCAGACACACACACACACACACACACACACACACACACACACACACACACACACACACACACACACACATAGAGAGAGACACCAGCCCCATGTGTTTGTACAGTGCTGTTAGTACAGCAGGATCATAGGTGCAGTTTCTGTCTGGATCAGCACGCAATATAACAAATATATTTGTCTGTATACATACATATAAACATCATACTATTTGTGTTAATCTAATTTTACGTCATGATCTTTCTGAATTCCTGCACATATGCGTTTTTTTCCCCCATTTGTTTTTCTTCACTTCTGTCATTATGTTTTTTTTCTTTGCCTGAGTGCCTCACCTCATCTCTCAGCAGAGTCTCTCAGCCAGAACAGTGGATTTGAATGTTGTGCAGTCATCTGACCGGAGTTACAGTAGCCCAGTCTGGGATGGCAGTGGTGGCTGACCCGCACACACGCTACAAAGAACAATACCTCCTTTTTTCTGCTCGTTGCTCGTTGCTCATTTAACTTTTGTTTGAGTTGAGCAATACACATTTTGCATTTTCCTTGATAATCTAGCAAGTAGACTCATAGTAACATTTGTTCCATTATATTCTAATATTGTCCAAAATAATCGCTACATAGACTTTTTCTCCAAATCGTGCATCCCTATTGGAAACCAAATTCTTTGCATTGTTAATTAGTAGCATTGATGAATGTAGCCAAGTGTCCGTTTTGCAGCTATATTATTCAGAAATAAAAATATATTAAACAAAGACCATAGATTAGGGATGGTTATCGCTTCTCGATGCCTTTATGGTATCGACAGCCCGTATCGAGTAGAATTGAAACGTCTCTAGTCAAACCAGTACTTCAGTTGATAATTTTGTAACCATTCCATCACCTCAATTAATCGCATTTGTGGCGCAGCAGCGATCAGCTGATTTTACTCACTCCGGCTGCAGCTGCTTCAGGTGTAGTTGGTTTGATTGGCAGGACGTGCAGCCTCTCTTTTTATCTGTTTGCTGCTTTAGAGTCTTTAGTGTAGTTAAGTGACTTGTTTAAACAGACTCCTTACTCGTGTTATACTTCGTCGTTTTTGGAGAACGTTTGCGAATCACTACTGAAGGAAAAAGCACTAGCAGAGATCTTTCAAATCAGTTTATAGATCGAAAGTTAACAAAATAATTTTCCATTGTTTACTTTCAACACACGTCAAAGAATTAACTTAAATTTGTTTCCTACAACGTATTTGGTTACTAAACTATTTCACTCCTCCCCTCTCCATTCAAAATTGCAAGCTCTGTAGTCTTTCCCCTTATGGACCAATACTACCCGTGAGGATGACCTAATTAAGTTGAGGACAGATCAGATACAATTTCCCAAGACTTTTATGTAACAGTTATTTGAAGCAAGAAAAAAATTAAATGGATAACCTTGCTTGTCCAAAACAACAACTAAAAATAATAATAGGCTACCAATCCACTACTATGGCTACACTGCTATATCACTTTAAGGGTACTGGTCTTGGTACTGGTATCGTAAAATTTTAAACGATACCCAACCCTACTATCAATAGATATCGGACAATATTAAAGCATGTGGAGAAAAAACATGATCAATTTTTTTTCACTCAGTCTGATTCTTTCCTGCGTGTGCTTCAGCAAGTGTGTTTCCCCCCTAGAGAGTGACTGAAAGAAACAAAGAAATAAAGCAACCCTGACCTGACTTTTTCATTTTCTGTGTTTTGCAGCTCAGAATGTGACGGTGGAGGAGATCCTCTCTTCCTACAAACAGGCCTGTCAGAAACTCAACTGTAAACCCATACCCAAAGTGCTCAAACAGATACAGGTGAGGTTCAACTTAACACAAACACAGATGAACAGACACATCACACGGACACTTACAGCTGACCTAATACTGACATCATACACTCAGCTGCCACTTTGTTAGGTACATCTAGCTAAAACTAATGCAGGCTAATACAAAAGTCCTGACATAAACCCAACCTTTTGTTGAAACTGTTTTAGAAAGGTGTTGAGCCTCATGGTCATTTTGAAGGCTACGGTTTTTTTGTTTTGTTTTGTTTTTTTTTACAATGACAGTAGGCTAAATAACAAACAATGTAAAACAGAACCACAAACTACAGCCTCCAAAATGATCATGAACATTAGGTACGGTTTATTGCAGGACATTTGCATTAGACTTTATTAATTTTAGCTACACATTTTAATTCACTCAATGAGGAATAAGTGATGAATGACAAGTGCCATTGCTACTTATGTTATTTGCCACCTCTAGTAGAACGTCATAATCCCCTCTTAAATCCCTTGGCAGAGTGGAAAGTCATCACAACCCCAGCCAGCTGAGCTCCTGCGTTTTACCCCCTTTTCATTCCAATTTGATGTGGCCAATTCCCCTGTAACACAGTCCTTGTCACCGCAAACACTGCTGTCATGAAGTATGAAGCTGCCAGCGGCTGCTTTTTTATGGCAAAAGCTTCATCAGGAGAGCATAATGTGCCCAAAAGTTGGTGCTAACCCCGTAGTTCACCCTACAGATAACCCAGCAAACCGCAAGTACAGTCACAAGGATGTGATCCCTCACCAGCTTCTCACCCAAAAGACAAGCAAATTGTGTATTTTGGAACACATGATGAAGCTGAAAGTTGAACTTGTGTTTTTGTAATGATGTGCGAACACACATTATTGTCAATAGATTCCAAAATTTTTTTAATTACAAAAAAATCATTGGTTCTAGCTTGTCAGATATTAATATTTGGTGATTTTCTTTGTCTTATTATATATTCTATGGGTTTTGGACTGGTCACAAAGACAAGCAATTTGAAGACATCAACTTGGGATTTAGAAAATGACGGGCATTTTATAGACAGATTGTTTAAACGATTAATCAAGAAAATCATCTGCAAATTAATCAATAGTCAAAATGATGTCTTGACATATAATAATCTGTATTTGGCCTCATCACATTACCATATTGATAAAATAATAGTCTAAATGTTCAGTGAGCCATTGAAAGAATGTGTCTTATCATCAAAAGATGGAATCTGGAATCTACCGCCAAACACTGGACTGGGCAACCAGGAAGTACAATGGGCAACGTCTTCTAGTCGGGACTAATTTCACACAGAGGATCACACATTGTACTTTACATTCATGCAAAACACTGAATGGAGTTAGTCACGTGGGGTGGGCGCCGGCCGAGGCCATGACAAGAGCCTGGGAGTGTAGATGGTGTGCAAGTTCAAAACCGCTGGGGAACAAATAACTTCGTCCTCATAAGGCAACATATATAATAATAGGAACTAGTCCGGTTGTGGCAGCGCTGGGCTGCACTGTGGTGCAAGGAACTGGACAAGCTGGCTGGGAACAGTTAGGAAGTCCTGGTAGCTCCACCCGAAAGGTCTTTGTAATTTTGAAGGTTCCTGTTCGTGAGGCTGAACAAGATTTTGGTCCAAGAATTACATCCTTATCCTTTTCTTCTAGTGGTAAAAAAACAAAAAAACACTTCAAAAGCCTGTTAATGTGGTTTGTGGGCGCACCAATGTATGAGTCTAGACAAGAGCTATGATAGGATCCAGTAGAGGTGGGCCTTTTTCCTATTTCAATAAGAGTGCTTGTTACTCCCAACAGGCAGAGAAGTGTTTCATGTCTTTTTTTTTTTCTGCCTTCCCTTGTGGGTTAGCCAGCACAGTCATGTGTCCCATAATCCCTTTACATAAGGAGTTCTTCAAATCTAGCGGGGGAAGCTTCAGGGCTGGTTTTATATTTCTGCCAACCTCGTGCCTTTGTATGTGAATTGGTGCACGTGTTTGATCTGTGATGCGATTGTTAACATGTTAAAATTTTTCCTTCTGTGGGAGTTGTTTCTACTGAATGTGGTATGTATTTTTGTCACAGAGAGCAGAAAAGGGAGACGATATGGGCAGCGGAAACAAAGAGGCCTTTTGACCTCCTGCTTAAGCAAATGTAAACTCCTGTCCGCTTATCACCCAGTCTTAATGATACTGGAAACCTGATACTACTCTCTAGTTTCTTGTTCGTTTGTGGCCTGAGGGAGTGACAATAAAACTGACCGTATAATTGTCAGTTTTTTGCATAGACTGATACTCGACTGAACTACTAGGTATACTGCCCAAGAGTTAAAATGAGTGCTGGCAGTATGGCAATGCCTAATAAAAGGAACATATTTTATGTGAATGTGTCAAATGAAATAATGGCCTGTTGAAATGAGACCTTATGTCTAATAAAGACCTGGTGGTCTGTTTAGGGAAATAACAGCCCCAGCCATGAGTTTTATCATGATCTGATAAAACTGTGTGTATGTAAACATATGAGTGTCTGTTTCTTGTCATGTCATCATACCAGTTCCCCTCTAGTAGAATTGACAGGACGGAGGAGTTGGCAGTGCTAGCCTTTGCAGCAGGGACGCATTAGCACTTTCTCCTGTTTGTTCTGTCGCACAGTCACTGCAGCACACACTCATAAACCCTTAACTGGGCCTCTCCACTGGAGCCTTGCACATATGTATGTGTGCATGTGTGTCTCCATGTGTGAGTGATGACATGAGTAGCACATGGAAACACATTTGTGATTCGAGAGACCCTGCTAAGAAATCCCCACACGCCTGGTCAGCTGAGAGAAAGGAGTTTGGTTAACATCTCTGCTGCTTGTTGAAATGCACATCTATGTGGTAAGCTGCTGCTGTGGGCTTTATTTTGTCTTACAGTCTCTGTACATTTCCACTGGGAGATGACTAACCCGGTCATCACAGAGGTGTCCCATTATCTCCCCTCCTTCCCTCCATCATATTCTGCTTTTTTTGTGATTGCTTATGTTTGCAATGTCTGGCCTCTCTCCATCCCTCCCTAGCTCAGTAGTCTTTAGTCCACTACCGCCCCCTCTCATTTCTGCTTCGTCATCCTTGCAGTAACCAGCCACATAAACAAGCCAGTCAGACCAAATGGCTGACCAGTGAGAGGGGAGTTTGCAAGAGGAGCTTATCCTTTTACTGTTTTTTCCTTTTTCAGTCTAAATGCTTTCTTTATTAATTCCAACTGCCCTGTACACGTGCCAGGGGCCCCACAGGTTATGGTACATTTCTGGCCAGTTGTTTGTGTGTCTATGTGTTCATAATGGTCACTATTTAGCAGCTGCATGTTGAATTCCTGCTCTGCAGTAACTCCCACAAGAGCCTTGAGACCTGGACACTTCGTAGCCTTGTGTCACATTTCTGCTGCCGCAATTTCCCCAGGGACAAGTGGTTTCCCAAGTATGCAATGTGTCTCACACAGCGAGGGTGCACACATAATTTTTTAGAATATGCAGAAACATGTGCTCTAGACTAGTTTAGTATACACTCACCGGCCACTTTATAAGGTACATCTTGCTAGTACCGGGTTGGACTCCCCTTTTGCCTTCAGTACTGCCTTAATTCTTCGTGGCATACTTTCAACAAGGTGTTGGAAACATTCCTCAGAGACTTTGGTCCATACTGACATGATAGCATCACGCAGTTGCTGCAGATTTGTCGGCTGCACATCCATGATGCGAATCTCCCCTTCCACCACATCCCAAAGGGGCTCTATTGGATTGAGATCTGGTGACTGGAGGCAGCTGGAGTACAGTGAACTCATTGCCATGTTCAAGAAACCACTTTGAGATTATTACAGCTTTGTAACATGGTGCATTATCCTGCTGGAAGTAACCATCAGAAGATGGGTACACTGTGGTCATAAAGGGATGGATATGGTCAGCAACAATACTCAGGTAGGCTGTTGTGTTTAAACAATGCTCAGTTGGTACTAAGGGGCCCAGAGTGTGCCAAGAAAATATCCTCCACACCATTACATCATCAGCATGAACTGTTGATACAAGGCAGGATGGATCCAAGCTTTCATGTTGTTTACGCCAAATTCTATGTTCAAAATGGTTATTTGAGTTACTTTTGCCTTTCTGTCATCTCTAAACAGTCTGCCCATTCTCCTCTGACCTCTGACATCAACAAGGCATTTTTGTCCACACAACTGCCGCTCACTGGATATTTTCTCTTTTTTGGACCATTCTCTGTAAACCCTAGAGATGGTTGTGCATGAAAATCCCAGTAGATCAGCAGTTTATGAAAAACTCAGACGGGCAGCAGCAACCAGTGGCCAGTGAGTGTATGTGGAATACGGTAGTTTTATTATAAGGTATGCTATATATCTGTTTAAAATGAAGGATGGATTCTTTTGCCGCAGACGTCACATGTACATCAACAGCAAACACTTCAAGATAAGGCTTTATTGATCACCAAAGGGGAAATTCATGACATAAAGTCTAAAGTAGACAAAAGTTCAAAAACGAGGAATAGTAATAAAGGGGCTGCAGCAACTGGGAGCAGCTGCTCCCCCCTTCAGCTCTGGCAAACCTGCCTTTGCTGGTTGGTGTAAATGCATCACTACTGGTTCGCCAGCATGGGAATGTTGCCACAGGCACCAGATTTAAAATCTTTTGGTATACTTCGAAATAGAGGTTTACATGGCAGTGATGGGCTTAATCAGCAGTGTGTAAACTTGTTTGACAAGGGCTTGAATGTAATGGTTGTTATATGTAAAAGTCACACACTCCAGCTTTAAGCACAGACAGATTAAGACCATTCAAAGGCCACGTAGGCCAAATATGTCAACTGATAAAGACTGTTAAATTATTTCAAAGGCATTTCCAAATCTGGGTGAGAAATGCAGCCTTCTACAATTGGAGGACACAACTGATGGATCATTTGTAGTCGTCGTATCACATAATCCATTGTGCATTTCTGGTCTACATATCAAATCTGGATGTGTCACATGACACTATTTAGGTATTTCTCTACAGGTGGTGATGTTTTTACAAATCACTTTATCTAAACCCATGAAACAGCCACTGCAACCTGAATATATTATTATCCCAGAAAAAACTGCGCCTATTGTTTTCTATGTAAGCCACACCTCAGTGTGATGATGTGTGAGGAAACACCACTGTCCTGACTTGTTTTTGGTAACTTCAACACTATTACTTCTGTCTGTACAGTGTGTGCTATGGAGATCAAAAGATGCAGTGTGTTGTACATTTAGGGAAAGGGAGCTAGATGAGAGGATCAATACCATGCTTGTGGCTGTACAGTAAATATTAAGCTAGAGCGGTTAGCTCAGCTTTGCACAAAGACTGTCCAAAGACATAACCAACTGTACTGTACAGGCAGATTGTAGTTGTTACACGTCAGTTCTTGTACGATTTAGACAAATGATATAACATGTCATGAGCTTAAGAAGTGCTAGTAGATGGATATTGTACAATCAGACAAACCCAGACTAGCTTTCCCTCTGTTTTCCAGTTTTTGTCCTAAGCTAAGCTAACCGGCTGTAGTTTCTCAGACAGAGTGGCATCAATCTTCTCAGCTAAAGTCTCGACAAGAAAGCGAATAAGAGAATTTCCCAAAATGCCAAATTATTTTGTTGTTATCATCTGTTGTTAATGGTTGAAAAAGACACTCTGAGCGTGTCATTTTGGCCGGACCATATCATTTATGAAGGAGGTAAGGTATAACCTGGTCATCAGGTCCTCTGAAGGACCCATTTTCATGCACCGTGCATTTTGGAACATCCATTTTACATAAGGTCATTTGACTATAATACATGTTGGTCTGGTAAAACACACTAATGAGAACAGTGCAAAAATATAACGTATAATATACAATACTATATGTAGAGGCACAGTATAGCACAAGTTACCACAGAATTTAATGAACAAGATCAGAAAGGGAATCAGTAGCCCAATGCAGTCCACCCACAACACACACTATCCATACCACCACTTGGGCAGAGGCACACTGTGCGTCATGCACTATTTTGAGCTCTGGCAGCTCTGTCAGAGAGGTATTTACAGTGATAAAGTCATTCTCACTGACAGGTGTCCCAAGTTTATTGTAGTTGAAGATTGTCTTGCTGTTAAATTGCCCAAAATGTGTCTCTGCTTGTGTTTACATTGTCGACAACAGCTTTTGGTTGCTGAATTTTGAATGAAACCATTTTTTACAAAAGATGCTGAGATTATACTTAATATTTTGCTACCCAAAGTGAATGGTTCAGTCATCTTTCACAGCTGAATTATCTTTGTGTCTCCTGCAGTGCTTTATTTTGTGTCACAGTGTGTCCTGCTGTTTGTACGATGATACAGCTTTTTGGATGTGGCATTTGTAAAATAACTTCATCATGGTTTTGATGCCTGATGAGTCATGCAGTAGGGCATGAAGCTCTAAACTAACATTGGTATGTTCAGACACAGACAGATGCCAGTGTGGCCTTGGGCGAGGGCAGAGGTTAGGGGGTTCATGCTGAATGGGCCGGGCAGTCAACTAGAGAGAGGGATTTGCTGGTACATAGTTTCGAGGGCAGCGCTCTGTTTTTGTGTTTCTGTGGGTGGTTGGGTGTTTTACCAGGGCAAGAGGTAAAATTTCTTTCCACCGTTTTGATCTGTGATGCTGTGGGGTTGAACTACATCACAGGACAGATGCCATGGTCAAGTTTAACTTACACAGGGAGACAGCTGTACATGCTCAGGTTTAAAGAGTAAAGTGGCGTATAAAATGAGCTTATCATTTGAATGGTCAAGGCACATTTAGGCTGCGTTTCCATGGGTCTGGGTTAGCCCACTTTAATGGTGCTGAGCAGCATCAAGTCCTGAATACGTCATTTTTACTGCGTCATCCGTCACGTTCTGAAATCTGAATCATAACCCAATGTATTTTTCTCTTTCATTCATTAATAAAAATTTCATCCAAAGCAACACGTTACTGGCTGAGATAACCGTGTATTTTGCATGGAATAATGGAATTATACATGATTTTTTTTTTTTGTCCTCATATCTGTATTATGTGAATTATAATATCGGCCTTTGAAACACCCATATCAGTCGACCACTAAAACTTACCAATGATACCAGAACTCAAAGGCACACCAACACAGTTTATCTCAGTTTAAACAAGATCTTTGTTTTATCTACAATACTAATTTATTGAATTGTCTCCTGTGGGATTTGAAAGTACATGCGAAAGCAAAGGGCAAATGCACAAACTCAACTCTACTGATTCTGCTTCTTTTTGTCTCTGTAGGAACTGAAGGACCTGACACAGCGAAATGAATGCTTAGATCTAAAAGGTAAGCACCAAAACAACAGCCTGACAGTCATAGTCAACACTATAACTTGTGGGAATCAACAGATACCAAGACTTTTTCATATTGGGAGTTACATTTTTAAAAACGTTATCAACTTTATTTCATGCAACATGCACATATAATGCGCTGCTGCAGAATGGTTAATTGACCAGACATGCATGTATGTCTTTAGGTGAGAAGCTGGACTACAAAGCTTGTGAGTCTCTGGAAGAGATTTTGAAGAGGGTCCAGTTTAAAGTGATAGACCTGGAGCAGACCAACTTGGATGAAGATGTAAGAAGATCCTGCCTTTAAAATCTGTCTCTGTCTTATTTCCGGCCTTCATTTTTTCCAGTGCAGATAGCATACTTCCATCTTTCATCCTTAATTCATGCCTGTCTCTCTTTCTCATATCGTTCGCCCCCTTAACTGTTGCTTTCTGCCCTTAGTCACACTCTGATCCTCTTTTCACTCTTAACACACTGTTAGGAGGTGGAGTGTTTGTCATGGGTTTTCTGATTACTCCAGATGTCCACTTGTGTAAACACCATTAGGGGGGTTTGGGTTGTTGACATACACAGATAGAGACAGTGCTGCAGTGTGGAGCAGAGAGACACAGGCCCCGACCACTTCCTGTCACACAGATATCTAAATATACTGTACAGTACTGTATCGCACGCAGACGCAAGCTCTGCTTTTAGCCAGACTCACTCAGGATACATCCTTTTAGGGTAGGAAGGGTCACTTAAATTGCTACTCATTTGTTTATTGCTGGCACTGCCATGTCAGTACTTTCAACTTTTAACCCCAAAATTGTTCTAGGCCCTAATCTCCAGCTGTGATAATTGTAGCAGCACGGTGGACTAGTGTCTTTAAAACTGCAGATGGTTTATTCTGTTATACCGTTATACTTAGGGGAATGGCTAAAATCTTCTATCACAGTATATATAATTGTATATCACGATACAGTAATTGTTCTGTAAATTCAATTAAGAGATGCTTTAAAAAACCATGCCGCGCTATACTTTATCACATTTGATTATTTGGAACATCCATACAAACAAAAACAACAACTCCTGCTCTGTATTTACAGTTTATCTTCCTCCTCGTTTTCTCATCAATCTCTTCTTCTGCAGTAGTTGGCAAATAAACTTATCGTGCTTTTCCATTACCAGTACCAGCTTAACTCGCCTCGACTCAACTCTACTCGACTCGGTTTGGCCGTGCTCCGTTTTCCATTGCAGATAGTACCCAGAGATAGTACTCCTCAATGTAGCAGGTCATCAAAGCGACGCCACACACAACTGCTGACGTAATGTTCAATGCGACACACACACCAGCGACCCACACAGCTTTCTCTTTATTTAAGTTAAAACGTTTCAACATTACTCAGAATGTAAAGACAGATAAGCGGTATGAAAACCTTACAGCTGTGTTTTCCTCTGCCGTTGTTGCTGCAGCGGTCTGTGTGACGGTGGGAGCAGAGGGCTGTGTGAGCGGGCGGGTGGCTGGCCAGCCTCGCGAGCTCCTCCCATAGGCCGCCACTTGCGGAGCTCCTCAACTTTCAAGCGCATTTTATTCACTTTTCGTAAAACTGTCAATATTCAAAATCTACACAGTTGAGTTCTCACCTCCAAACTTCTCAGAAGTGGATTTAGTGATGAAATTACATATGAAAACTTAAATATAAAACTTTCTGTTGCTGGCCTCTGTCAGGTGCGCGTAATGATGATGCAGTGAATAGTGATGATTCTCTCTGACCAATCAGCAGTCTGCTGTGTTTTCACGTCATATTTTAGTATCACCTCAGCTCACTTGGAACCTCGACGGAGGTGATATGAAAAAAAATACTACTAATAACTTTTCTACAATGGAAAACCAAACAAAGTCGAGGCGAGGCGAGCTGGTACTGTGAAGTGGAAAAGGGGCTTTAGAGGCGCCAACTGGCGCTTCTGCTACCCAAATAACGTTACCTTGCGAGGCAGCGGATAGCACATTGGAACTCGCCCTGATTTGCTACATGGCCTCACCTGAATATATACACTACAGTATATTGCTAAAAGTATTAGACATCCCTCTGAATCATTGAATTCAGGTGTTCCAATCACTTTCATGGCCACAGGTGTGTAAAATCAAGCACCTAGGCATTCAGACTGCTTCTACAAACATTTGTGAAAGAATGGGTTGCTCTAGGGAGCTAAGTAAATTCAAGCATGTACCGTGATCGGTTGCCACCTGTGCAATAAGTCCATTTGTCCATTTCCTCACTACTAAATATTCCACAGTCAGCAGTTAGTGGTATTATAACAAAGTGGAAGCGATTGGGAACAACAGAAACTCAGCCACGAAGTGGTAGGCCACAGAAAGTCACAGAGCGGGGTCACCGCATGCTGAGGCGCACAGTGCGCAGAAGTTGCCAACTTTCTGCACAGTCAATAGCTATACTCCTTTAAACATTGTGTGGCCTTCGGATTAGCTCAAGAACATTGCGTTGAGAGCTTCATGGAATGGTTTTCCATCGTCAAGCAGCTGCAACCAAGCCTTACATCACCAAGTGTCCGATGCAGTGGTGTAAAGCACACCGCCGCTGGACACTAGAGCAGTGGAGACGTGTTCTCTGGAGTGACGAATCGCGCTTCTTTGTCTGGCCATCCCATGGACGAGTCTGGGTTTGGCGGTTGCCAGGAGAACGGTACTTGCCTGACTGCAAGTGTAAAGTTTGGTAGAGGGGGGATTATTATGTGGGGTTGTTTTTCAGGGTTTGGGCTTGGCCCCTTAGTTCCAGTTTAAAGGAACTTTTAATGCTTCAGAATACCAAGACAATTTGGACAATTTCATAGTCCCAACTTTGTGGAAACCGTTTCGTGTTGGCCCCTTCCTGTTCCAACATGACTGCGCTCCAGTTCACAAAGCAAGGTCCATAAAGACATGGATCAGCAAGTTTGGTGTGGAGAACTTGACTGGCCTGCACAGAGTTGTGAACCCAACCGGATAAAACATGGGATAAATTAGAACAGACTGCGATCCAGGCCTTCTCGTCCAACATCTGTGCCTGACCTTACAAATGCGCTTCTAGAAGAATGGTCAAAAATTCCCATGAACAAACTCCTTATCCTTGTGGAAAGCCTTCCCAGATGAGTTGAAGCTGTTATAGGTGAAAAGGGTGAGCCAACTCCATATTAAACCCTAGTGATTAAGAATGGGATGTCATTAACCTTCATGTGCATGTAAAGGCAGGTATCCATAGTGTAGTGTAGCATAGATACTAAGGGACAGCTCCCGCAGTGGAAACGGTTTTGCGTAATCTCTAATTGTGGACACATTTGTACCGTCGCATGGTATTTATCGTCACATATTTCACTTATCGACAGTTTGTGGCGTTAATGTGCCAAAAAATGTGTAGCAGTTCATCAACAAAGGCAAGAAAGACTGCTAGCAAGTAAATATGAATGTAAGCAATAATGTTTTATGTGGAAGGAAATCCTTTCAGCGTATTACTTAGGCTTCAACAGAGTGTACTGGTGAAAAACGGCTAATAACCTGAAAATTCCACATGGTTCATTTTAACACAGAAGCATGTGAGAAGCTCTATTATAAAGTACGAGGGATTGAATAACTGTAGAAGGTTCTCCTTCTCCTTGTGTGTGTTTTCTTATGTTTAATCTGAGTTTACCCCACTTTGATAAAAAAAAAATCCGTCAAACTGTCTTGAAGTCATTGTGGCGTTCACACGACGTGACTGATCAGTGACAGGGGGTCACGCACTACACATGCTGACAGTGACTGTGTCACCCGACGATGGTCTCCAAACCACGTTTTGTCAAGAAATCACACGTGAAATGGGAAATGGGAAATGAGGCGAACCTACACACGAAACAGCTGTTGTATTTTATTATAAAGACAGAAAAAATATGGGTGAAAGAATGGATTAGCACACGCAGATAGCAGGGATTGTCTGAGCTACAGAGTGAGATGGAGGTGAGTAAAAAGTGTTTTGCAGTGAAAAAGTAGCTGCCTGCTCTCATTGGCAGGATGTGGATGTTGAGTCGGCCGACTCTTCCAGATATTTGGCATGCTAGATATCTGGCAGACGTCGGTGATGTGTCAGAAATGTGTCGGGGAGCCGTTTTGATACATTGGTGAGTAGTTCACACATATCAACCTCTGATTTACCCCCGATCACAGCCTGACAGTTTCCAAGCTCACCGAGCGGCAAATCGGGCTAAAAATCGTGTAGTGTGAACTAGGCTTAACTCTCCTTCCAAGTTTGCCAGCACCACCGAACTAATTTTCGTAGAAGGGTCCACTACAGGTGGTCTACATGTGATTATTTGACAGTGTTGCATGCAAATTACTAAACATTAGGGTAGATCACCCTTAATCTGTCAAAATGATTGACAGCCTTCAGATTTTTCCGTGATTGTTTAAAAAATCAAAAAATAAATAAAGTCTGTGACAGAGAATATTCTCTTAACACGATCCATAAAGTGGAACAGATTTTAGATAGATTTTATTGTGTAAGTTTACTTCACCATCAACCAGTCAAACATAGTACCCAACATCAAGAGAAGTGTGACCTGACAATGGCAACTCTGATTTGGTTTCATAGTATGACAATGGATTATTTCAGGAAGCCAACAAAAATAAGCAACGGACCACACTGTTGCATAACCATAATATCCATAATATGAGGGCATTCACAGTCTTCCTTAATCTCTCATGAACTGTTCACTGAACACACAGTGCTGAAAAACACAAGTGCTCTCAAATTAGGGATAAAGTCATTAAATATTGGTACACATGAACAGAGGCCATGCAGGTTCTCTTAAGGATGGATCCCATCGGGCACGGCTGCATCGTGTTCCGGCTGCCACGTGCCTGCCAGAGCTGATTGCGGCCATTCTAGACGGAAGCCGGCAAAAATTGCACAGGGCAGATGAACCGGGCAGGAAGTCGGCATAGAGAATTCAGTCTTTTTTCATAATAAAAAACTGTGTACTATACAAATCATATAAATCGACAATAAACGCACTTAAAACAGTCAACAAAAGAAAATATTTAACAACGTAGCCTATGTACCCATGGTAGAAGCACAAGGACTAATTAGTAAATCAACAAAATCTGAGCAAGTAAGCAAAATCAGGCAGGCAAAAACACTGTGCTTCTTGATGTTGGGAAGCCGTGTAGAGGATGGGATATAAACAGGTCACAGGGAGCTGTGCCCAGTAGTAGAAGCACAGACAGGCAAAAGACAAAAACGCTCCGCTCCTGAAACGCTTCCAGTGGGATATGAAGTTGCGCTGAGGGTGGAACAAAACCACGTCGCAGCTACAACGTGATGCAGCAGTGTCCTGTGGAATCCAGCAGTTATTTATAAACAAAGCTAAATGCAAACTGTTCCATTCATGGACAATATTGTACATATACTTTTATAACAGATCTTTGTTTTAGAAAATACACACACACACAGCTTAGACACTCACGCACATGCGCACCAGAGCATCACATAATCCAAACAAATGCAGAGTGACGTTTGCATTTTTCCTAACCCAACATGTAACACTGTCCCGGAAATGTGAATGAAGTAGCTGAATAAGTCAGTGACTTCTGACTCACCAGAGAGCAGCATCTAGGCCTGAGACCGAAGCGTCTCGCCTTGGGCTCAGAGGAAATGAGCACCTGAAAGGATAAAAATGGTCAGGTGTTGCATGGGGAGGCGAGAATGGAGGAAGGTGAGATAGAAAAGATCTTTAAAGTGGGAGAACATACAGAAGATGAATTGATTTGGCGGAGCCTCATATCTGCAGTAGTGGCGTCTTATTGGGAATGCTTTGGGAAGATGAAAGGAGAAAAAATTGTTTTAAGAAGTGTGGGGAGGAGCATGCATGTGGAGCATTAACACAGGCTGGCTTATATTGGAATGGATGTGACTCATCTTCCCCCACCCTGTAGATAAACACACTTGTGTATATACTCAGTAATGTCTCCAAGTATACACACAGACACACACACACAAAGGGGAAAAGGTTATGAGACTCAACACAACAGCCTGTCTGATTTTGTTACGTCTAATCAGCCTCAGTAGAAGATAAAATCATACGCTCATACTACCATTTTAATCGCCGGGTCAAATCCACCAGTTGGCTACACAGGAACAAAAAAATCATCACCAGTCTGTTGATTTTGGTGATTTTAAGTTTGTTTTAATTGCTGCAAAGTGAAAGACATGACGGGCACAGAATCCACACATGAGAGCTAAAGACCCAGTAGCTAATTTTTATGTAAGAATATGCTAATAACTTATTATGTAATGAAAGCAAATTGTGGGGGAAAAGCAAAATAACCAGCCAAAGCTAGTTTCATCAACACATTCACATACTTCACTCCTGCAGCACTACCAAAACCAAAATGAGATTAAAACACTCCGGTCGTATGAGTGTACTTTGGCCTCACACTGCATCACCTGACATTTCACTTTAGTCCTGCATCTGCTCCTCACCAAACAGGGCTTCATGCCCTATGATTTTAATACACTGATAATTTTACACAACTTTTCAGCCTGTAATAAATGGAATTCTTCACATTGTCTTTAGAATAAAGCTGAAATGAGTAGTCAATTAACCGATTACCTGTTTGACTGCTTGAATCAGCGACTGTTTTTTATACTCGATTAAACTTTTGAGTAATTTTTCAAGCAAAACTGTAAAACCTTTGATGAATGTCTGTTTTACACCATTTCAACTGAATATTTTGGGGTTTGGACTATTGGTAAAAAAATATATATTTAAAGGCGTCTCCTTGGTCTGTCATGATGGGCGTTTCTTCTCACAATTTTCTTATATTTTGTAGAACAAACTATTGGTTAAATGTGGAAATAATCTGCAGATTAATTTATAATGAGAATAATCTAGAGCTGCCACAATTAATTTAACAACAACTATTGTGATAATCAAACACACTTTAGTCATGTTTTAATCAAAAACGCCAAACATTTGCTGTTTTCAGCTTCTCGAATGTGAGGATTTGAAGCTTTTCTGCGTCGTACAGGAAAACAAAAAACTCTTTTGGATTTTGGAAAAAATTATAACCGCATTTTCATTTCATTTTCTGATATTATATAGGCAAAACAATTGATTCGATATTCAAATAATCAAGAAAGTAATTGCAGATCAGTCGAAAATTGATATAATCGCCAGTTACACTCAGTCGGTTCATTTTCGCATGTTCACAGATGTTTTCATTTGCAACTTGTAGACACTTACCCAGACAGGTGTCTCATCACTCCCAGCTGTGGCCCTCATGGAAACACTTCAGCAGGTCTTACCTGTCCTGGGGGATTGTTAACATGGCAGCTACAGCTGCTTTAGACTATATCTTGTGTCTTTTAGGGTTTTTTCACTGTGACCGACTATGAGATTTGTTTTAAACTGTTGGATTTTAATCTGAAATGCCACAATGGTAATATGTACTTCTCCTTTTCTCTTTCTCTGTATTTCTCAGGGTGCGTCAGCTCTGTTTGACATGATTGAGTATTACGAGTCGGCCACACATCTCAACATCTCCTTCAACAAGCACATCGGCACGCGGGGATGGCAGGCTGCAGCTCTCATGATGAGAAAGGTGAGAGATGAGATAAAAAGGATAAAAATGTTCATAACAAATAAAAAGAAGTTACATAGAAATAGTGCCAAAACTCTAAAAGTCCCTCTTGTTTTCGTCAACTTGGTATTTGATAGAAGGCTGTTCCACAGTGTAGCACCAGTATAAATAATAATATTAAAGAGATTACAGATTGAACTCTGACAGAATAAACAGGACAATGGCAGTGTCGAGAGAAAGACTTTCTTTCCTCAAAGAGGGCTGTGTAGAAGAACAATAAAAGTAATATTTGGAAAAATAAAAAAGTGTGATGAGTGTGTTTTTTGTTTTTTTTTATTAAACCCTTATTGAGACACAGTCTCTTTTACATGGGAGTCTTCTGTTTGTTGCATTGAGAAAGCTCTTCGGCCTTAAGACCAAACTCTGTGCAATATTTAACATTAGGCATTTTGTCTGGCCAGAAAAGAAGGTGTTTAGTCTAAAATACTACTGACTTATACTCAGATCTTTCCCTCTACTTCTGGGTGAACTTGCTTCGTGCAGCGCTTTTGATTTCTGTCAGCACCCAGAAATAAGGGTTGGCCTTTCTTCGCTTGCTCTTCCGAAGTCTTGTCTTTGACCTTTTATGGTACACTTTGACGTCAGTCATCATTTATTACTGTTAAGAATACAAATGGGTTGCCAGGCAAACACATGAATACATCACTTTCAAGCAATATATGTGAGAAAACACATGGATACAAACAGCTGTTGGTTAGTTTTAACAGTTTTTATTTAACAAGGCATGTGAAGGAACTGTTGATTGTGTGTCAGAGAAATAAGGGGCGTAAAAATCACAATTTCATACAGTTTTTGTATTATTCTATACTGCATAATAATTTAAGGTGTAAGAGGAAGTGTGAGATGATGGAGGTAACAAACATATCCTAAACCAAATGTTGTAAATTAACGATGAATGAAAAAAATCCATCAATTTAATTTGTATATGTACACTATTTGGACAAAAGAACTGACACCTACACATTACGTTTATGACATCCCATTCCAAATCCATCGGCATTAATATGGAGTCGGGCCCCCCTTAACAGCTTCCACTCTTGTAGGAATGCTTTCTTCAAGATTTAATCTGGGAATTTTTGCCCTTTCATCCAAAAGAGCATTTGTCAGGTCAGACACTAATGTTGTACGAGAGGGCCCGGCTCCGTTGTAGTTCATCCCGAAGGTATTCAGTAGGGTTGAGGTTGGAGCTCTGTGCGGGCCAGTCAAGTTCTTCCACACCAAACTGGGAAAACCATTTATTTATGGGGCTGGCTTTGTGCACAGGGTCATTGTCATATTGAAACAGGAAAAGGCCAAACACAAACTGTTGGAAGAACTATCGTCTAAAATTGTATGATGTAACATTAAGATTTCCCTTAACAAAGACCACACCATGAAATAACAGCCCCTAACTAAGGTATTAGGACAGGGGTGTCCCAGTACTTTTCTCCATATGTGTGTATTTTACTAGATTGTGGAGTTTGTGGATATTTCGGCTCGGCTGAGGTTCACTGCCTGTCCTGGCAGTGTACCGCAGTGATCAACACTAATCTGTTTGACCAAGCCACAAATTACTTTGCTGTGTTTATTATTAATACCGTGGCCTATTTATTTGTCTTACCCTCCTAGAGGGGAAAACATCTCATTCTTAATCACAGTTACTAATGATACAGTGAACTTTACAGTGAAGTTTTACGAGCACCACAGTCGTACTGTAATCACAACTATGACTATGTGAGAAGCTAATTTGTCATCTGATCAGGGTTTATAACAAAAGACATTTCCTCTGTCTACAAGCATTGTGGTGTCTGATGACTAATGAAGAACTTCCTCCAGACAACACACACACACACATATTCCTGTGTCGTAGCTTGCCAAAATAAAGTCATGGTAGCTTATTTCAGCAAAGCTCAATAGATCTTAATGCACTAATGCTTTGACGGTGCGTGTCCTTGAAATCGGGAGGTGAGGCTTTGTGCATATACACCATCTTTGTCATTTATATCTGCCCATTTGAGGATAACTATATCTATGTGAGTCTGGTGAAGCTCTCAGCTGGTGACATCAGTTTACTTCAGCAGCTATAATCACATGTAACAAAAGCGTTACTGGATTAGGATTAAAGATCAAAGGTATCTCTGAGGATGCAGAGGTGGAAAATGTGTTTTTGTGTGTTAGCCATATGTCAGAAATCTGATTGCATGTCCACAAAACAACCTCATCTCAAGATCCACATCTAACCAGTGTAATTATGCCTTTATAATTGTGTTATTTGAATGCCATTTCTGATTTGGGTGTGTGCCGTTTTATCCAAGCATACCAAATGAATTATATCTCTGTTGGCATTTCCCCCCCAGACAAGCTCTCTGCAGTATCTGGATGCACGTAACACTCCCCTGCTGGACCACTCGGCTCCCTTTGTAGCACGGGCGCTCAGGATTAGTGGCAGCCTGGCTGTCCTCCACCTGGAGAACTCTAGCCTGTCTGGCAGACCGCTCATGTTACTGGGTAAGATGGGCAGAGCGCCGTGGGAGGTGACGGGTCCTTCTGTTGCTGATATTTTGTTTTTCTTCACACACATCTCCCTCTTCTTCCCTCACTTTCCTTTATCATTTATTTTCCTGGACAGCTACGGCTCTCAAGATGAATATGAACTTGCGGGAGTTGTACCTGGCAGATAATAAGCTCAATGGCCTGCAGGACTCAGCCCAACTTGGCAACTTGCTCAAGTTCAACTACAACATACAGATCCTGGACCTGCGCAACAACCACATCCTAGACTCTGGTACTAATGAAGTAGTATGATTGTTTTATGGTCTTGTATGTTTTCTCATGGTGGGAATACTTTGTTAAAAAGATTTGTTTATTGTACGTGCACCTCCAATACATATTCATAAACTCTGATTAAATGTTTACTGGTCCTTGTGGGAAAATTACCCCATTGTAGCGAAACCGATTAATTAATTAAATACATGTAATAATCTGCATATGGCCATGTGTACATACAAAAATATTATGGCATACTGGCCAATACAAACCAGTAAAGCAACTAATCTTCGTCAAGATAGTTGGTTTAAACACTATCCCAGCGTTGGTATGTTTTGATAATGTGGTTTCATTTAAAATCAAATTACTCTTCAGACCAGGAAGCAAACAAAAGTTAGTAAAGATTATTATGTTGATTTCATTCAGCTCTCACACTCTAAATATCGCTGTTGGGAGGTCTGTATTACAGACTTGACTAATGAGCTAATCCAAGTATTATAGCTTTGCTTTCCACCCCCACATGTTGTATTTTCTCATTTATACTTGATTTAATAGATGCACCCATGACACTAAACTCATTCTAGCTTTACAAGATGAATTTAGACTGCAACAGTTTTTTGCCAATTATGACCCAAACAGATAGGTCTTCTTGCTACTAGGACAACTTACAACATGCTTTATGTGAAAAGTGAAGATCTGCAAACAGATATGATATTTTGTTAATCTTAATCTTTAGTCTAAATACAGATGTACTAACTATTCTCTGTACTGGTGTCGGTCTATGTTTGTCATCACAGGTCTGGCCTACGTGTGTGAAGGACTAAAGGAGCAGAGGAAAGGCCTCGTCACTCTGGTGCTATGGAACAACCAGCTCACACACAATGGCATGGGCTACCTCGCTGCTGCACTGGTACATGCACAGACACACAATAAAGCTAGCCTGCTTTTTAGCAGGTAGCCATTCTGCAATCTGCCCAGCCACCACCAGCCGTAGTACACCTGTAGCCACTGGAGTATTTCCTAGTTAAACATGTGAACATAAAAGTTTGCAAGCAGTATTTTAACCTCGATCTTATTTAAAACAAATAAGATAAAGATCTTTGTATTTACTGTATCGTTGTTAGATGAATAATGACTCACATTTGCATTTTACTAAACAATCCGCTGTTATTTCCTTGTGTAAACTTGAGAGTCACAGGTGTGTAGGTGAGAGATTAATGTGCTGTGTGAATCTGATATGACTGGATATTTCCACGTAAGCTCCTCATTAATACACCTGACATTTTGTGCACGTCATATCTAGCTGAGTGAACAGATGTCAGGCTTGTCTGTGTGTCGCACCATTTTGTCTTCTTGGTTTAATTTCACAGCTGTCTTTCACTGATACTCCATTGATAAAGTCACTGGTCTCATGTCTGTTGTTGAACGATAGCGTTGTCTTTACACTCATTGTTCCCTCGTTGTTTTAGCACTACAGTGTGTAAATGTATTGAGTTAATGTATGAGTTATTACAGCCACAGCGTTTGCACAGCAGCAAACTTTTTTAATGTTCAGATGTTCTTTTGAGCTGCAGCACATTTCTTACTCACATTATTACCAGTTTATCGCCTGTTTTGAAATTATATTAATTTTGTTGACTCAATATATAATATAAAAACGTATTTGTTAACCCAGAATTTAGCTGCTTATTTCATTTTAATCGGATTATTTTTCATAAACGAGGGTTTGTGTATAAAGAGTTACTGGTATTATTTACTGCTACTGTCCATCTATATGTGTGTCTGTATAGTTCATCTAATGTGTCACTTGTAAGAAACTTGTGTTATTACAAAGAGAGCTTATGCAGATGAAAGTAAGTCCTTATATGGAGGTTGGGAGGTATTTCAAGGCATGATAAGCTAATTTAATTTCTGTTTCTTAGCAGTTAAACAGATGTAAAAAAATAATCAGGACTTTGTGTGATCAGGGAGACTTTAAGGATTTTACTTATTTCTTATTTTTTAGAAATACATGATGATTTTGCTTTTGGAATATAAAAGATTGCGTTGTTGAGCTCTTCTTAGAAATCTACCTGCTGGTATTTTTTACTGAGGCTTGTGAGATTGTGCAGGACACACAAAAATGGCCTAAAACACACAAAGAACGTCCCATGGCTGCTGATTAATAACCCTGGAGATAACCACCGTGTACTTGATTACCACAATGCTATGAGATTGTAAATGTTGGGCATTTAACAGTAACCAGTATAAGAAGAAAAAGATTGTTGTATAGAGAAAAGAAGATTTCTTACATATAAATGGAAGGAGTCTTTGCTGTTCTGACAAAAAAAAGGCTGTATATACTATGTGGCTGTCATGCCTGTAATACGTCTACCTGTGTGCACTAGCTCAAAATGTGTTTTGGAGGGGAGGCCTGAAGGGAGTGGGTGGGATTTTTTCTGTTGGATGTACTTTCGAAATGTAGCTGATTCTTGCTTGTTTCTCCAACGTCGCCTACCCTAGCTTTAAGTTGTAAACTCTCAGTAATGTCAAACTCTGTACGGTGACGAAACAGAAGCCCTGAAAAAGCTACTGTTTAAACACATACTGTAGTTTAGAGCTCTGCAGTGAATTGAATTTTCTTTTCTGTTACAATTTTGGCTTCCAACATCATGAAAACAAGATAATCCAGATAAACCGATTATTGTGCCGCATTATTCGTTTTGCAATGATGCTCTTGTTTTGTCTTGTGTTTATAAATCCGGCGCACCCCTTTCCTTTACAGTGTTGCATTTTTGCCTCCTCCTAAAAGCCCAAACTCACTCTCAGCCAAGGTGTGACATATTTAGTTCAGCTCAAGCCAAGATGGCCAGGGCTTTAACTGGTATAACTTGTAAGCTATCATTAGCTTTAGCGTACTGCATTTTACACTGCATAAATTAGCATAGGAGCTAGCAGACTTCCTGTACTCATAGCTTAAAAATTACATATTATTTATACTTATTTATGCTTTTTCTACTCACTGTTTGTTGAAGTAGCTGCATCCCCCGACAGAACTCTACGGTTAATGACAGAGTTATGTAACAAGTTGTCATCAGCTTACTAGTTTACTGTCATCTGCTAAGCCCACACACACGGAGCCCCTCAGCAGCCCATCCGCCCACTTAAGCCCGTCACCCCTGGGGAGACACTGCATATTTAAAGTTAAACAATGTCTGATTTCATGGGCTAATTGGGATCTTTGTGGTATTTCATATATAATTACTTAACAATAAAAGGATTCGATTTTAAAAGTTCAGTAAATGCATGATGTTGATAAAATGATTGTGTTTATGATATTTGCCATAATCGAGCAGCCCTACTGTAGTTAGAAAGATAAAATGTACATTAAATATTTTAGTCTAATGGGAATTACTGGCTCATTCTATAATACACAGGTTTCATGAGCACCATGAAACACATTGTGGATATTTTACACTTAATATTAGCATAATCACAGTGAATCATCTCATTACTGAAGCATATTTATGTTTCCCCAGACAAACGCCAGCTGTTAAAATTTCAGCTTCTTTTAATGAATGTGGTTCTGTAACTGCACGCTCCTATACCTAAAGAAATGCCTTCTCTGTTGTCCTCTCCCTCCCTCAGCCATGCACCCAGAGTCTGGAGACTCTGAACCTCGGCCATAACTCGGTGGGTAACGAAGGCATCCATAAGCTGAAAGACGGACTGATTGGCAACCGTTCTGTGCTCAGACTGGGCCTTGCTTCTACCAAACTGTCATGCGAAGGTGGGAACCCATGCACCACTACTTCAGTGTTTGTGGAGGATGTTTTGCTGTCTTGCATGTTTTGACTCCCGTTTCTTTCTCTCATGTGTTCTATAGGAGCTGTGGCCGTGGCTGAGTTCATCGCCGAGAGCCCCAGACTGCTGCGTCTCGACCTTCGAGAGAATGAAATCAAGACTGGCGGACTGATGGCTCTGTCGCTCGCCCTGAAAGTCAACACCTCTCTGCTGCGTCTCGACCTTGACCGGGAGCCCAAGAAAGAAACTGTGAGCATGGGGACAAGGCACAGGGAAGGGGATAAAGGAGAGCAGGTAAAGGGCAGAATATAGTCCAAAATGGAAGTGGACATTTATCCTTCATTGGTGTCTGCATAAGCAGTAGTAGGCATATATTGTTCTTATTGTCAATCTAAGACCAAAACCAATCGTCTGTACCCCTGTTCTCCTGTGCCATATTGCTCCATTATTGTACAATAATAAACCGATGGCACATCGGTGCACCATTGCCATCGGCCCAGCTGTTTGAAGAAATTATTTAAATTATTTAGATGTCCCTGGACTGTTTTTAGGGTGTATTTCTTCAGTAGGGCTACAAACAGGGTAGACAAGTCAAAGTATTAAAAGGACTAATGCAACCGTGGTTTTGGGCCTTTCATTGGCTTCGTTCACAGTAACTACAATACAGAATAACACTAGTAGATAGCTGACAGGGGAGAGATGACAGGAAATGAGGGAAGAGAGAGACATGGGCCACCAGGGTGCTCCCAGCCCTAGCTTTTAAAGAAAATTGTGTTTTGAAAATAAGATTATTTTACAGACTTCAACAGAAGACGGAAGGAAGGTACTTGCTCAAAAGCTCATTGCAGGGTTTGGCTTTGTTATTTCTGGTGTTCTTGTGGTTTTTTTTTACATTTTTGAGAGTTCTTTTGTTTTGTTTTGTGTCTCAGGTGAAGAGCTTCATTGAGACACAGCGCGCCCTGCTGGCTGAAATCCAGAATGGCTGCAAGAGGAACTTTATCCTGGCTAAGGAGAAGGAGGAAACAGAGCAGAACATGAGGCATTCGGCATCCATGGCTGAAATTGCCACAGAGGACGGGACCAGAGAAGAAGAGGAGGAACCAGCGCCAGAAGAGAAAGGGAACAAAGAGGAGAAAGAGGGAGAGGAAGTGATAGAAGGTGAAACAACAAGAAATGAAGCACAGACGAGCAGCCAGTCAGGAGCGAGCTCTGAGATGAGCGTTCCTCAAGTGATCCTGGAGTCGGACTCGGACACAGAGGATGAGGAAGAGGAGGTAGTAACGAAGTCTTCTTCCACGTCAAACTACTCCACTCGCTTAAACCAGACTGCTCCTCAAACCCAGACAGTTGTTGCACAGCCCGTCCTCAGTGCCTCACGTACACCCTCCTCCCCGTCTGCCTCACCTGCTGGTGGGCCAAGTGTCATATCCGGCATCACCGTCAGAGAATCCGCAGCTCCTTCCGGCACCCCTCCATCTCCTGGTCGCTGTATATCTGTCTCTAGTCCAGGGAGGGGTCATAAGATCTTCATGGTAACTCGAGTGGAGAGCCCCCCTGAGCAGCAGCAGCTACAGTTTCAGATAAATGCACCTGCAGCTCCCAGCCAGGTTAAAGAGGTCTCAAAGAAGCCTGTAGTCGCACCCACAACACAGCAGACACAGACGCTGCCCTCATCTCTAACACCTACGCAAACACAACAGGAGGACATGAAGGAGTGCTCACCTGTTCCGTCAACAGACTGTAAACTGGCAGAGCAAAGTCCTGTAGCACACGTAGAGTCTGCACCAAATACTACACAGACCCACATACTTGAGCCACAGCCTACAAGTCAACCCACAGAAGATGTAACAGCTAGCACTTTAGACCAGACAGAAGCGACAGATCCAAGTCAACAAGCACCAGCTCTGCCTTCAGATTCCTCATCAGTGCAGGCTACGGCATCTTCGCTCACTGACGAGGTAACAGATAGCACTGAAAGCCCACAATCTGCACCAACTTGTGTAGAAGGGAAGAAGGAAGGAGAGGAGGAAGGTCTTATAAAAGATGAGGGACGGGTGATGTCCCCTGATAGCACGGAAGGAGAGTGTAAACAGTTAGATGAACTGAGGCAAACCCAGACTAGTATCACTGCAGCAGAAACGCAGCAGAAGCCACGAACGTCTAACCTTGAACAGCTGCAGAATGACCTAGCATGTGCATCAGAGGAGACCCAGGCACTGAACCAAAACGAGGAAGAAGAAAAAGAGGAGGAGGAGTCACTTCCACCACAGGAGAAGCAAGACACACCAGCTAACTTGTCAGAAGATGAAAAACCCAGTTTAACAGAGAAAGAATACAGCCAGCAAACCCAAGAGGAACCATGTCCAAAGCAGCAAACAGAGGCAGATGAACAGGAAGTAGAGCCTGTTCTCGCTGTCCAGACTGATCAACAAGCACCATCTGTCACTCAGGGTGGAGCTCTGGACTCAAATCCTCCAGAAACTTCAAAGAGTCCAGAGCCTGCCTCCACTGGGTCTGTGTCCCCGGTCGAGGGGGAGGATTCACCGGATGAGAGCTCCGCAGACGAGGACGAGTGTTTTGCTGAGGCTCCGGAGGAGGTGGCCAGTTCAGCTCTTCCCAACGGCCTGAAGCCCGAGTTCTCCCTCCATCTTCTCGAAGCTGAAATCCCCAAGCCTGGTAGCTGTGTGATGGAGCATGGTGAGTGACCATAATCACTGATCTATGAACAATACATTAACATGCGCAGTTGGTTTTAGGTGTGAAAATCTGTTTGATGTGTCACTTGTGTAGTGAGCGTCAGCTGTGGACAAGACCTGGAGGAGCTGCTGCTAGAAGCCAGTTTGGAGACGGGGAGAGAAGCACCATGAGGCTGTAAGGTAAACATTTATCTCGATGAGTGCATAAAAATAATCACAAGTAGTCATAGATTCACCGGATTCAAAGGGGCTTCTAGAAGGATTTACTTTTACAAAATCACTTTACATCTATTAGTGACCTAATGCTGAACAAGTAGGTCATTTTAAAAATGAAAATAACTTCTTCCCTCCTATAATTATACTGCCTTTTCTTCCTTGAACAATATCCCATTGGTCTTTAGCTCACATCTCATTAAGGAAGTAGAAATACAATTTTATGGATCGTTTAAAGGAAAACTACTTTTATATACACTTTAAATACACCAGTGTAATTGCTGGGAACTTGAAACACAGTGATATCACTAAGAATGGGTCCAACAGGGAGAGAAAACGGAGGCCAATTCTAATTATTACCCAAACTGTCGGTCGGTCAGACTTCCTGTTAAACTTTGACCTGCCATACTTTTCTGTGCAATGATACTTTCGGTTTGACCTCAAATTAAACTGGTTCTGGCTCATTTAGAACCTGTCTCATCAGCATTCTTTTTTTTAAGCTTAGGGTTTTTTTTCTGACTACTTAAATCCACATTACGTGTAATTGCACTGCAGCACTGTGGCTGAACACATCTAATATAGACAATGATGGACAACTGCAAGTGCTGCTCTGCTGGAAAAAAAAAATTGTGTACTGGCTTCAGACAGTGTTCATGCTGAGCAAAACAGTTTTACCTACAAGATGGAGAAATTTATAAAGCTAGAAAGGTGAGTGTAATCTGTCATTTGAAGTTAAAACATCACTAAGCCTGATGCTCAAACATAAGTCAGTCAATTGGGTAATTAGGTTTGCTGTTATTGATTTTGGTTTTGCTAATTTTCTCTGCCACATTCAGGACTAATTTATCTCCTGTGGTACTTCCACAGGGACTGATGACCGGAGAAAACGACACCCAGAGACTTTGTCTGGCTCTACTACATGACTGGTTGCTCTATGTTTTCGTCTTTTCTTTATCTTTACCACCAACACAACTTTTTTTCATAAAGGACAGAAGACCCGATGTTACAGTTGAAGCTCTACAAGAAAATACAAGGAAATTAAGGAAAAACACAAAAAGGACATCAACGTCTCGAGCTTGGCTGTGACAAAGAATCTATATCCACACTACATCAACCACTGAATCACACATACACATGCACATTGTGAGGAAGAAAGGGGAAAAATAAAATCACCCTGTTATCACTACATTTTGTCAATCTGCGATCTTTACAAACAAGCAGCCGCCTGTGAGTGGGAAAGAAGTGAGACGGGACAAAGGAGGGAGGATAAAACACTAACCAAAGACGGAACACAGACTTCTCACGGCCCTACCTTTTCTCTTGTGTAGATTTCCACTGTAGTTTCGGGAAATATCTAGAAGTTGAAGTTTTTGTCACAACACACACACACAAAGACATGACGCTGATAATGAGAAATGTGGGGTTGATGGTACGGACCTGCTAGCTTTAAACACTTGTACTAGAGGTGGAAGGAGGTCACCGTCAAAGGCTTTTATATCCAAGGAAGCTGAAGATGATTACAAGTCTGTTTAAATGTCAAGTTTTATGTCTGCGTCTCCACACCCGACCATTCTCCTCCTTCAGACACAAAAAAAAAACCTCTTAAGGGACCTCTGCCCGAGTGACTTCTCCCTCGTCTGTTTCTCATCCTCTGCTCACATTGGCCCCTCAGGAATTGGCGTCCCCCCTCCGGTCAGTCTCCTCAGATATGATGCGGAGGAGCCGCAACTGTCTCTCCCGCCTGTCTCCGCAACAACAACAAAAAAATTTTAAATCACTTTTGAAAGTCACAAAGTCAGAAGTTTGCTCCCAGCTGAAAAACTAAACTCCTGCTAAGTGTTGGAAAGCTAGATGATTCTGCTTTTTTGAGTTATTTACAGTAAAACAATCTTTATTTTCCTCGACTCTATTATTGCTTTTGTTTGACCGTTTTTTTGTTGTGTTTCAAGAAAAGCAGCTCGGTCTCTGTCATCATCTCCCCTCTCCTTCCTCCTTTCCCTCTGTCTTCCACCGGTACTTTGTGCCATCTCACCTCTCTGGCTCATTATTCATGTTGCCTTCAACCTCACCACTTCAGATTCAGTCTTTGTTTAGTTTTTTTGGCTGCTTTGAGAAATCAGTAATTTTGTATTTATTTTATGGTTATATGAGCCTTCTGATTTTTTTCCCGTTTTCTTCTTCACTCTCCTCATTTTATCGTTTCTTTTCCATTTGGGGGTGAATTTTTAAAGATTAACCCCATTTTTGATGTATATTTCAGATTCAAACTAGAGCAGATATTTAGTTTTTGTTTAGTTTTTTTTTTGGGGGGGGGGTAATTTGTGTTGGAAGAAAAGGTATATATTATTGATTGGTTGACTGGTGGCAGTCTGGGTGCAGTAATGAAAGCAAACACAAGGAAGCAGCAAACATAATAGTTCACATCGAAAAGTCCTTGTTGTTGTTTTAACACTAGTCTGCTGGGTGAAGCTGTTGCCACAAGGGGGAGCTAGTGGTTGTGTTTTCCTACAGTGGCGACTGTACTAAAGGATGTCACAGTCTGAACAGCATCAACAGATGTCTCTATTCATATCCAGCTCCTGTCCTGAATTTTCCAGGAGGAGGGAGTAAAACTTTACATGAGATGTCAGCTGCATGTATGTTGCATTCAACCCTCCTGCTCCTCTCCACCCAACAGATAGTTTGCCCCCACTGTTTGTTATGCTTTAATTTTTAGAGATTTTTAATAATTTGTTAACTTAATTGAAATGTGCTGGTAATCACAAAGATCTGTATGGCGAAATTTGTTCCTCTCAAATAAATGCATGTAATGACTAATATGAGTGAACGTTTCAATGAAATTTCTCTGTTTTGGACTAACAGGAAGAAATGTGTTCAGATCACGTTTGTTTGAGATTTTTGGTTACAGCTGGTGACTCTTTTTCAGATGTGTGACCTTTTGAAACCTCTTATGAAAATGTTTAATTTGATTAGAGACTAGCTGTGCAGAGTTGTTATGTCACTATGAAAGCTGTACTGGTTAATGGATACAATATTAAAAGGTGCAGTCCCTATAAAAGTAGGCTTTTATTTTCACTTTCTGTTGATCAGTACCAAAAAAGTAATTACATCCGTTATGATTCAGTGTTGTCTAACAAAGTCCAGGGAGGTTTGAATACTTGTTACAGCCACTATCTGAGTGAGTGATAGAGTGGCTGTGCAAAATGACAATCACATTTTGTTATAGTGAGACATCAGGCAGGTAGATTATGTGTTGGCACTAATGTACAGCCCTTCACAGGGGCCTTAAACCAAACCTGGCACTGGTTCCCAGCCTGTGAATATAAAAGCAGAAAGTTGTTTTTATTGCCCAAAATTACATTTTCTGGCATTTTTCCAACCTTTGCTTTGTTTTCTTGTAATAAGGTTTTAGGTGTTTCAGGCCTTTTGACCACTATACAAAAATACAACTAAGACCAAGAGTCTACAGCCATGCTAGCAGCTTGTTGAGGCTGTTTTTATGCTGTGTGCACGTCATATGGGATGGATAGTAGAGATGGGAGATTCCCATTGCTTTCACATTATCAACATGGTTGTATGATTACAGAGTTGGTCATGTGAGGATTAAAATACTTTGTATTGACGATGTAACACCATAACCATTTGGGTTTAATTACACTGAATAGTATTTCGCTGATGTAAGGCGTCCATATTAGTTTGGTTTTCAGGTACTCCTGTAATATTAAGCATCAAGTCATAAATTCCGTAGCTTCTGAAAAGTCCAAGTTTCCCAGTTGAAATTACAATTTGGAAGTTTGTGAACAGTATTTATGAGTATTTTTCTATCCATCTGTCTCTCATCTTTTCCTGTAATACAAAAATAATCCTCTTGAACTTAGGGGTGGTTACATATATTTTTACAATATAATGTGATTTGGGGTGATTAGATAATCCCACCCATCATATAAAACTGCACTTTACAATTAGCTCATGTGGGTAGCTAGCAGAGTCTTATCATAGAAAGAGATGTTTGGATTTCAGATGGCACAACCTTTTTTTTCACATTTCCAAAGAATGTGGTTGAGATCTAATTTGTCCATTTAGCCCAAATGGAGAAAACCTACTGGAAGTGAACAAATAGTGCAACATCGTTTTCGCCACTTTCTGCTCGTCATGGTGAGCATTTCAGAGCTCGCAAGCTAGCTGTGAATGGTGTGATAAGCAACCTGCTCTTTGTCCTACAATTTATGTGGTGTTGTGTTAAGCAGAACTTTGTTTTCTGTAATCTTGGATGCCAGGACATAGATAAGAGGACAATAATCTTTCCCATCACAGACATTAATCCACAGCAGATAAAGACTAAACCTCCTGACCCACCAAGGCATTTTTTGTTGTCAATTGTTTGGTAGCAGTTTTGAGGTTTGGTGCCTTGCTCAAGGGCACCCCTGGACCTACCAGTCCACACTCCCTATTGTGGTCCTTGCTGGACTAGCCACCCTCCTGTTTTTAAGCCATGTCCCTACAGACTAAGCTACACAAAGAAAATTAATGGGGGTAAACTTTGTGTTGTGTTCACCCTCATGGCACAGTCTGACCAAAATTTGCTTTCAGTTTATTTCTATGTGAAACGGGATGAGACATAGTTGCAATTTGACCCACCTTCATGCTTCACGCAGAGTTTAGTCTGATTGAACTCAGGCAGTAGTTTTCAATGGTTCCAAGTGCTCTTAAGGTTAGGTGTCCCACAAGGATGTATTCTAGGTCCTCTTTTATTCACCATATACATAAACAATATTATCTCCATTCCAAATTGTAATGTAGATTTTTATGATTATATTATTTTTATGCCACATCTGGCCAATGCAAATCTACAGTCTGATTTTGATACATTTCAATGTTTTAAATTCTGACTAAACAAAATGTATGCTATTTTCAAGGTCAGTTTAAGAGTATCCACCCTACTGTATCTGTACCCTTCAGGGTTCTCAGTTTGAAATTGTTGAGTCATACTTGTTAATCTGACTTGACATTAGACTCACTTTTTAGACCTATGTGAAACACCTGACAAGCAAACTGAAAATCAGGTTTTTGTATAGAGTCAGATCAATCTGTGAATTCTTTTGTTTCTGTCCATATTTAAACTGTATATGTTTATTCTTGTTCACAGGGCTCTATTTAAAGAGATCATGTTTCACCTGTTTAAATAAAGCTAACGCACTCACAATGATAATGCTAACATGCTGATGTACTGCAGGTATAATGTTCATCTTAGTTAATGTTTAGATTTGCAAAATAGCCCTAAAAAAACTACAACAGAGGCTGATGGGGATGCCATTTGTTTTCTGCCCTGATGATGGAGCTAGAGGAAAAGTCAGGGGATAAAAGTCCATTAAGTGCCATTAATCCTGATGGGAACATGAATGACTGATCCAATTTCATGGCATTCCCTCCGATAGTTGTTGAAATATTCAGTCTGGACCAAAGTGGTGGACCAATCAGCATTGCCACAGAGCCATGCCGCTAGCACGGCAAAAAAAATGATGTGCTAAATATTCAAAAGCAACACCTCTTTCCAAGAAGTGCACCCCTTACTCTAGAACGCTGGTTCCCAGTCTGCGGGTCGGGTCCCTACAAAGGATCACAAGTTAAATCTGAGGATAAGAGAAGCAGAAAAACATGTTTCTGCTAACCAAAATTATGTTGAAGTTCTTCTAAGCTTCGCTTTTGTTTCTTGGGATAATTTTCGATAATTGTATCCGTTTCATGCCCTTTAAAAGTATTTCAGTAAAACCCCTCACACCCTGACACGTTGTTCACGTTTCCTGTAGTGAGGGTGTGTAGCGGTGGCACAGGGTTGAGTACAGGGTGGGAGCTCTGCTCAGTATGTGTTACTGAAATTCTCCTCTTAAGGAATTCCAGGCTGCACTAATCCACTCCCGCCCAATAATGCTCCAACAGTACAGGGTGGAGAGTTTTGAGACAGTCAGATGTTATTAAATGTGTTTTTAATTACCCTACAACACTTACAAACTACCACGAGTCAATAGTCTCTAACACAGGGTCCTTTTCGTTTGTTCAACTGCAAATCCTTTATCTGTAATCTAAATCACTGGTTTGTAAACTTTCATGTTATGATCCCTCAAAATAAAACATTGTCTACTCAGGCAACCCCATCTCCTTGGAACAACTCATACATATATATACTACTAATTTGTTTTGTCAGAACATTTCCCTTAATTTCTAATTGACTCAGGACAGCTACTCACTTGTTCAATATGTCAGTGAGCTGTGAGCAATTTTCAGATGGTTACATATTAATATTTTTAGGAGATAGATTTATAACTAAATTGAACAATACTTTCTCGTGCAGCAGAATTGTTTAGCCATTTTTCCTATCCTGTTATTTTATAACTTTGCTTTCTTGCCAAGAGTTTGATGAGAAGATCGATACCACTTTCATAGCTGTACGTTAAATATAAAGCTACTGCCAGCAACCGCTTAGCTTAGCTTAAAGACTGACTGTTTGCCTGGCAATTTCACATTGAAAACAAAACACTGTAAAAAGACAACCTGTTGTTTTCACATTTCAGTTTCAGGCACGGATTAAACAATTATTGATCTTTAGAGGCGCTGGCTTTTTTACTGTTTGACAGAGCCAGGCTAGCTGTTTCCCCCTGTTTCCAGTATTTATGCTAAACTAACCATCTGCTGGTGGTATCTTAATTTTTAGTGTACAGATATGAGAGAGGTATTGATCTTCTTATCAAACTCTCTGCAAGACAAGTATGTGTATTTCCCAAAATGACAAACTAATCCTTGAATCGTCTCATGGCCCGAGTTTTAGCCTGTGGCTCCTTTAAAGGGTCCTGCCTCCCAGGTTGGGAACCACTTAAATGCATGTGGGGCTTAAATGCATGCAATCCTATTGTTGAATATATGTTTTTAAACATTGTCTATGATCCAAGCCTTGTAACTATTTAGTTTCCTTTAATACATTTAATTTTTCATTCATTTTGTATTCAAGATTAAAGAAAAAAACATGAATGCTCGGAAATATTTGCCCTTTTCCTCCCCAACCCTCCCTTTCCATGCGCTACACTATGTGTTTCATTTTTTTATCCTCAACCGCAACCTACACATAACACACAGTATCACCACCTCCAGAAAATGTAATATAAGGTGACTTTCATTTGTTACTCAGATTTTATTACGCTCTTTCTTTATGGTTAGATTTTTTTTCCTCCGGAAAAAATGGTAGTGTGTTTGGAGCAAAGGTTATTGTTAACCATTAAAACTGTTGTTGATGTTGTGCAATCCCCCAGTCAAGCACACACAAAACATCCATACTGTCAAAGTGTCTGTCTCATATCACAGTGCATTTTAATAATTCCTGTTTCTGAATCAAGGCCTGTCTTCACACACACAAACCTGCCATACAGTGATTGTAGTTTGCTGTTGCTCTGTGTAGTTCTCAGTGAGTCTGGATTTCTGGTTGAAATAAAACATTTCTTAATGTTCTGTTGACATCCTGTTTTCTGTTGATCATGACTCCTCATGTGGTTAAAGAAACTACTGAGGCACATTCTCTGTACATTGGTATGAAACATGTGATTGTGCACCTCAGGGTGAAGAGTCCATCGACGTAAAGTCTTCTTTCTGTGAAGTTTTTTGCAAGATTCACAAACAGAGCGAGCCAGTTTAATTTCCTCAGTCTAAGACATGAAGATGATTAACTTCATTTGAGACTGATTGATGCCTGTTCTCAGCAGGGAGTCAAACTGGACCACTATGTTGTTTCATAAACATTAACTGGTTATAATTGTGTTCTGGTTGTTTTAAAGGGATTTATTTTTCACCTGTACAGGAAGACCAGGTGAAAGTAGGTGAATGAAATTCTTCAGACAAGGTTACACCAGCAACTACTGACAACAGTAGTAGCACAACAATAAGGAAGGAATTATATAAACAAAATATCTGAAATGCTAATAATGAAATGCTAAAAGACACTGAAATTCCAGGTGACTAAAGCTGAAAACCAAAAAAAGATCAACAGAAAGCGATTCAGCAACAATTTTGATAATTGTTTTCTATTTTTAAGAAAAAATACCGCGTTTGTCTTGACTCTGACAAAATATTCTTATCACATTATCTTATTACTTTCTTCTGAAGTTTCATTGACATATTATGGCTTTCATCAGCAGATAGTTTTTTCGGTTTTCAAGGAGGTGGTTTAGTATTTGATATATTTACCGTGTTCTCTATACACAATTTGTACGTACTAACTTTGCTACTTTATAGTTATGCTCTGACACTATTCAGAGTAAATGGTATACCTTTCTTTACTCCACAAGCATTTATTTGCCTTTTATGTTTAATAGTCACATTGCAGACTAAGATTTTTCTCTGAAAGTGAGTTTCCAATACTACTGTACTTTTACTACTGCTACTTAAAGCGGGGATTGGCAATTTATTTCAGAAGCATTTGTTATATTTTTAGAAATTCTCTTTACATTCCGGTAGCAATCAATAAATCAAATGCTCTGACACAAAAATTTAAAAAACCTGGTATCTGTGGTTGTCGCAGGACTGTAATATGCACGGCCATTGGCCGACCTACCTACCTGCTCGCACTCTGCCCGTGCACTCAGTGTTTGTGTTTTGGGGGATTGAGTTACCAGCACAGCACCAATGTTAGAAAGAAAACGTCAACTCCGGCCAGGACTTGGTCTGATGACATCCACCGCAGACACAAATCCAGCAAGTAAGCAATTGAGAGCACCAACGATCACTCCACCATCTGAACTCCCATTGTTAAACGGGTACAATCGACTGACTCAATGAAATACTAACTATGTTGAACCCAGGTGAGCTGATCACACTAGTATTAATGCTAACCAAAACCCAAGAAATAGCAACAAAACCCCTGCTTGTTAGGAGTGTGGTTTGTGTTCATGTTTTCCTGTTTAAGTCTGGTTTTGGTTCTGTGTTTTTCTGTGTAGCCTTGTTTGTTTATTCACATGTTCTAGTTTACTCTCTGTTTTCATGGGTTTGGTTTTGGATTCTGTGTTTCTACAGCTTTATATGATCTTGTCATGTTTAGGGTTTTGTAGCAAAGTTTAGTCCTTTGTTCATTCGCATGTTTAAGTTTTCTTAGTACAGGTACTGGTCATATAATTAGAATATCATCAAAAATGTATTTATTGATGATATATTGAAGATTTATTTCAGTAATTCCATTCAAGAAGTGAAACTTGGATATTATATTCATTCATTACACACAGACTGATATATTTCAAATGTTTATTTCATTTAATTGTGATGATTAAAACTGACAATGAAAATCCCAAATTCAATATCTCCAAAAATTAGAATATTACTTAAGACCAATCCAAAAAAAGGATTTTTAGAAATGTTGGCCAACTGAAAAGTATGAACATGCATGCATGTACAGACCTCAGTACTTAGTTGAGGCTCTCTCTTCCTCCAGACTCTGGGACCTTGATTTCCAAAGGAAATGCAAAATTTACTTTCATCAGAGAACATAACTTTGGACAACTCAGCAGCAGTCCAGTCCTTTTTGTCTTTAGCCCAGGCGAGAGGCTTCTGACGCTGTGTCTTGTTCAAGAGTGGCTTGACACAAGGAATGCGACAGCTGAAACCCATGTCTTGCATACGTCTGTGCGTGGTGGTTCTTGAAGCACTGACTCCAGCTGCAGTCCACTCTTTGTGAATCTCCCACACATTTTTGAATGGGTTTTGTTTCACAATCCTCTCCAGGGTGCGGTTATCCCTATTGCTTGTACACTTTTTCTACCACATCTTTTCCTTCACTTCGCCTCTCTATTAATGTGCTTGGACACAGAGCTCTGTGAACAGCCAGCCTCTTTAGCAATGACCTTTTGTGTCTTGCCCTCCTTGTGCAAGGTGTCAATGGTCGTCTTTTGGACAGCTGTCAAGTCAGCGGTCTTCCCCATGATTGTGTAGCCTACAGAACTAGACTGAGAGACCATTTAAAGGCCTTTGCAGGTATTTTGAGTTAATTAGCTGATTAGAGTGTGGCACCAGGTGTCTTCAATATTGAACCTTTTCACAATATTCTAATTTTCTGGGACTCCATATCTAGACAAAAATGTGCGGATAAACAGCCCCTTACCTGACCCTCTGCACATCAACCAAGGCATACAGAGGATGTCCTGAATGGAGACCAGAATTTTCATGTCAATAAAAAGAATGACTCCAAAGCATTTGTGTGAATTTACTGCACATCTATGAACTTACCCAACATGTAAATAAAGCCACTGATCAGCATGGTAACAGTCTAAACTTAGTAATAACAAGATAAAACATTGACAATGTTTCAGTGTTCAAATTACCTATTTCTGACTATCACTGTGTTTTGTGTCGCTTAACATTGGATAAACAGTCAATTTATGACAGTTTCTGGAAGACGATCACAATGCTGATGCATGCGCAGTGGGGATATGATGCCATTGAAAGGTGACCAAATGAAACACACCTTTACTTTGATTAAAATTACGTATTTCTCAGGGTTTGAAACTTGTTTGAAACATTTGGGATCATGTACACAACTCGAGAAAAAATATAACAAAGGTCTTGTTGTGTTTACATATTTATGCAGGAAAGTTACATATTATTTCTTTAACTGGCTAAGATTTTCCTGAAACAGGAAATGTTTTTTGCTCACTGCTTCGCATTGCAACCTTTTTTTAAATGTTGCATTTTATTTCCAAATAAATGCCATGTTGCCCCATGTCTGTTGGGTGTGTAAATAGGCAAGTGCTTGCAAAAATGAATTTGAAATAGCTTTATATGATGATAATCTGTCAGTGTTGTGTTTTCAGATTGTTCCAAAGCCTCCAAGTTGCCCTAGGAGACGGTCATAGCAGCTTTAAAGAAATTCTCCAAAGGTAAAGGTAGCCAAGCTGCCAGGTCTGTGGGCCCTCTTTCTGTTAAGGGACAGTGGCAAGTGATCAAGTGCTTCCTCGCTGGTTCTTGGGCTTAGCCGTGCCTCAGGAATGTGCCGGTATGCTGGTAGAACAGTAGGGATTTATCCGTGGTGTCAGCCCCTATCTGGCCTGTTGATACACAGTCCAGTGGACTGCAACGAACCTCTGGCACACAAGAGCAGGGCTGATGGGACAGCAGCGTCATCTGTGGGATCAAGAGTGCTGAGAGGGGGACAGAGAGGCTGCACCACCTAGACAGCTTGAATAAGCTAATAAATACAGAATAAATTAAGTTGCCTTAAAAGGAACTGTTTGACATTCAGGGAAAGACGTTTTGCTTTCTTGCTGAGAGTTAGGTAAGAAGAAGGGCGCCACATAGCCAGGAGACTCTTAGCTTAGAAGAAGGGCGCCACACAGCCAGGAGACTCTTAGCTTAGCTTAGCATAAATGCTGGAAACTGAGAGAAACAGCAATTCCGGCTCTGTCCAAAATCCAACTACTTATTAGAGCTGCTGGAACACGATTTTGTTACCTGTGGAGTCAGGCCTGCTGTTTCTACCTCTTTCCAGTTTGTATGCTAAGCTGTTTCCTGGCTGTAGCTTCATATTTGATATACACACTTCAGAGTGGTATCAATCCATCCATCTATGTCTTGGCATAAAGTGTCGAGCTATTCCTTTCATTTTCCTTTTACGCAGCTTAAAAGTGAGACTGTAATTTAGGAATAACACATTCTCCCTCCTATGGTTCATAAGCAATGCACCTTTGCTCGCTTCACGGTGTTGTTGCCATACCCTTACTTGGTCTGGTATGAGCAGGAGCTTATGGTGGCTAATGTTACTAAATTAATACATATTAAGATTTACCTTTGTCCTATAACTGCCACAGCAACCACTGACTTTAAGGTTGGACAGTTCATCGAACACCCACCCCACACTGTCACACATTTATGTTCTTTGTCAGCTTGTTCCAGTGCTTGATTTGAAGCTACATGATGTTTGGGCAGCGTAAACATCATATAGCTCCATGTGGTTAATGGCCGTACCATTCTATCAGATGGAAATCCCAAATATCCGCCTGACATATTTGGAATCTCCTCTAGAACTTAACGTTTCCCAGCATGACTTTTAAATTGACAGAGAGGTTGAGGTGAAGGAATTCATGGCAGCAGCAAAGGTGCATTTTGACCATTGGAAGTGCTTTTTCTTCTGGCATCTATAAATTACATAATATTATTAATTATGTAGGGTCGGGGCTCAGATGAGGAGTCTGTGGTGTTTAACAATGAACAGACCAAGCTTTATGATGGGCCAAAACACTCATACACTGCTGCTTACTTGCGGTATAATTATGACGGGTATAACATCACTGAATATTCTGTTTATTCTGGATAAAGCGGCCTGATGTTCAAGGTTTTCTCATTCATCTGGTTATGTAACACCAGATCTCATATCTGTAATCCTGACAACACAATGTGGATTTAATTAGTGCAAATTAGCTTCACTTGATCAACTCAGAGAGGGTATGAAGGGTGGGTGGGCTGTGTGATTG